TACAGGCAGTCAGTAGCATCTAGCTACTAAGCACATCTGACAGCAAAAAACATGATCCCCCAGACTCCCCTCTTCACCCCACCTTGCAGATGTGGTCCCGCAGGATGGGTTGGTACTGAGAGCCACGGATCTGCCTCTGGAACCAGGATTGGGGCTCCCCATTGTAGGAAATCTCCAGGGCGGATGCCCCATTCCGGATCTCAGGCAAGTCGGACATTGTGTCCCGCACTGTGATGGTTCGGTACACCCCTCCATTACCCCTAAAAAGACCAGGCAGGGTAAGAGCCTTAATGAAGCCTGCCTGTATGCCAAATGTGCATCTGAATTGCACATTAAGTACACATTAAAACCTAATTTACCATGTGACTAAGACACAGCTAGCAAATTCTGGTAACTGCACCCCACCTTAATTAGGAGTTACAAGGCTCCCACAGACAGGATTCTTACCGTGTGACGTTGGTCACATATCTCTTCTCGTCCACCACCACATTCAGGGAGCAGGCTCGGGGGGCGAACACATGCAGTGGCTCAGGGTAACGTGGCAGTTTCTCGCCCGGGGCGGCTGCCAGGATGATGGCTCGGCGCCTAGTCTGAGCGACACCGTACTGCCCAGCCTGGAAGGGAGAACCAAAAAAGGACCCGTGAATTGGATAGATTATGGCATTACCGAGATTCAGTCTTTTGAAAAGTGGGAAAGATTTTCTGCATGTAGGTCTGAAACAGATCACCATATCTGGATTATTCAAAAACTTGACAAATGTCATCTCTGGTTTTCAGAGAGCCATGTTATACCCCCCCCCCCCTCCCCCCCCAGCCTAATCATGAGCCCCCCAATAAATCACTCCACTCAATCCTTACCTGCAGCACCCCGAAGGTGCACTGGTAGCCCATGCGTACCAAGCAGCGCAATGTCAGCTTCAGCACCATGGAACGCTTGAAAGAGACAAAGTTCCTCACGTTCTCCAGCAGGAAGAACTTGGGTCTGTAGTAGTCACAGTAACTGAGGGACAAATGGATACGCAAAACATCACAATAAAGCCTTTGATCTCGTATGATTTTAAATCAAAACGCTGGAATGTTTCTTGGACACCAGAAGACAATGTGGGTTGGTCTTGTCTGCATGCTTGCTCACCTGAGATAGGAGACCACCAAAGAGTTCTTGAACTTTGAGTAGGTGCGTGAGTTGAAGCGGTTCATCCCACTGAAGCCTTGGCATGGTGGGCCTCCACACAGCATCTCCACGTCACCTTTCTGCGGCAGCTTCTGGCCCAGCGAGTTGGTCTTCTCGCCCGACATGACCAACTTCAGCAGTACGTTGCAGTCCTCCGTGAAGACCGTGGAGCCGGGGTTGTTCAGCCTGAAGGCCTGGGCAGCTGGTTCCCACATTTCGATGGCCCACAGGGTCTCACAGATGCCTGACAGAGGGCGGAACATTTAGGCACCTAAACATAGACATACTTCAAGCGAGAAATGTCATCCCATTCTCTTACCAGCCTGGTGGAAGCCCTCAGACAGACCGCCACATCCAGAGAACACATCCAGGGTACGAAGCTTGGGAACCTTAGGCTCTTGTAGTTCTTGCTCCTGCTGCTCCTGGGGGGAGGACTTGCCCTTACCCTTTCCTAGGGAGGGGTATTAAGTCAGGTTTGTTTTTGTGTGCATGCACACGTACGAGTGAGTAAGGCTGTGATGATTTCTGTACCTTTGCCCTTGCCTTTTCCCTTCCCTTTGTGGGTAGCAGAACGTGCATGGTTTGGTGGGTCCTCGAAGCTCTTAGTCTTGGCATTATAAGCCTAAAGCGGAAGTCAGTAAGATAGGAGTCAAGACTTGACATCCTAACACATGGTTTACAGCTTCCCTCTACTGTATGACTACAAGATGGATGGCAATTCAGGTCCAATTACTTACTACAGCCCCCCCACCCCCCCAAGCACATCTACTCAAGTTTTTCTTACCTCCAAGAAGTAGAAACGGTCAGGGCCACCGTTTGAATACTCCTGCACGGTCTCAATGAGATCTTCTCCATACTCAACCCGACAGCGACCCTGGACCTCCGCCAGGTCCACAGTGACCTCATCATCGCTCCAGTACAACTGGTTGATGTCTGCGTGGTAACCTGCCTTAACCCCCTTGTGTGTGTTCTCTGCCCTGTAAGAGAACATAGGGGTCAAAAAACACACGCACACGCAATTAAGGTCACTAGATGCAGACAACTTCCTGGTGAATATTACTCATTGTCAAACACTTCAGCAACTGCCAGCATTTCCAATGGTTTACGAGCCTCCGACAAATCGACTGATTGGAAAGGCAATGGACCTGTAGAGCTTGTACAGCCGCAGCTTGACCTCAGCCTGGTTGGCCTTGCCATTGCTGCGTTTAAGGCAGAAGATCTCCTTGATGCGGCCAATGCGGAATGGCTCGGGGGCATCCAGGTTGGAGCCCTTGATGTAGTCTGAAGACTTCCTGTAATACTCCGGGTACAGCTCCTCATCCACATCATCCTTCCTATGCGAGCGCTTCACTGGGCTGGCGGCCTTCACCCTGGGGTTGAGGAAGACACGACAAACTGGTCACATGACCTATAAATCTGACACTGGCAAAAACGACAAATTTGCCAACTAGTATTGTAGCATAACACTGAACGAGCAGGTCTATTTGACACATTTAAAAATGACCATTTAAAAGTGCAAGCTAACAAACCAGTAAACTACTGCTATGAATTTCTACTTATCCCATGAAAAACCCACAATGCTAACTGTCAGCTGTTCCATCACCCAGCCTTCTATCCTACATTACCTAGCTTGCAGAAAGGGGATCCTAGATCAAGTTCCAGTTCTTACCAGTTACAGGATGTGCTTTTATTATTTATTTTTATTGAAACTTCCATTTCACAGTCTTTTAATGTACAGTAATGGACCTGACAGGCTTCTAATAAAATCTCATGCATACATGCAGATCAGTGTTCAGCACTATTTTGACACAGCTAGCAGGCCACTACTCACCCAAAGGAGAATGCCTCAGGCAGCATGTATACGCTGTCTCCCACACGGTACTGCACCCCCTTCAGGCAGGCCAGCCCATGCAGCACTTTGGACTCATGTTCCTCATGCAGGGGTTCCAGTGCGCAAGGAGTCTCCTGCTCCTCGCGCTCCTTGTTCCGAACGCAGCTGGCACAGAACCTGCAGAACCCAGTGCAGCAAGATGTGAAGACATCCATCAACCCAAGATACAACATACTAGGCAGAAAGACTCACCGGAACTTGCAGTCTTCAGAAGATGTGACCTTGGGCGGAGTCTCAAAACGGGCAAACTCGCCGTCATACCACAACTGGTAGAAGAAGCTCTTCCCGTCATCCTCAATGACTTTCATATCATCATCCATTCCACCCTGAAAAGAGCAGCTTTCATGCAAGGCTTCCATTTTGCACTACAGTCCCAATTAAAGGACTAGGATGAATATGCGCGCACAGGTACCTCCATGAACCAGTTGTTGGAAGGGGCCTTATAGAAGACGTTGACTTTCTCTTTAACGTAGTTGAGCTGCATGTCCTCACACTCATCCACCAGGAAGAGCTCCAGTGGATCAGATGACTCCCCCAGGACGGTCTCTGTGCCACGGTAGAACCAGTGAGCGTGGAACATCTTGCCGTTGTTGTCCTCCCACAGTGCTGTGATCCTGGAAGAAATATGTTCACAAGTTTCTTAAATTCAGCAAAATGAGGTATTGGCAAGAATTATAAACTCTTGGGAAGTCAAATTTAAATTCAATGGCTTACCTGGCCAGGTACAGAGGTTTGGACGGGTCATCTGGACTGACGGACACATAGTCGCCCACTTCTAGAACCTCATTATCCACACACACTTTCATGTAGTACTCCTTCTTGCCCTCCTTCTGTAGTCACAGAAAGAAAAGCTGATAACTCCACTCAGAGCAGCCTACCTGTACTGGGAGGCGACTGTTCCAGAACATTTACCCAAATGGGCTCATCCACCCAAGACAGCTTGCTCTGACTCTGCTTCTTCTTCTTGTACTGGGACATCTTGGCTGTGGCCTTCAATGGGGGGAGTACATCCTCCTCCTCCATGTTCTCGTCATCCTCAGCTTCCTTCACAGCCAAGTTGGGACACCTGGACATAAACACAGATGAGCATTACGCGCCGAGGCCAAAGATTCAGTCCTCCCCGCCCTCGAGCTCCCCAAGCAGACGAGAAGCCAGACTACAGCATATTGTGCATGCTTAGTCACTTCCACATTACTCACTCAGAAAACATGCTTCTCATTAAGCAGAAAGCCATTAGACAAGTACACAATGTTCTGGGACAAGCATTACAAGCTAAATCTCTTCTGCGAGAAGACCAGCATTCAAGAACCTCACCTCCTCTTCTGGCAGGCTTGTTTACTACGACCACTCCCACCAAACTTGACCATGTCCTTACAGGCTGTGCACTTCCCACAGTCAGGGGCCTGGCACACCTGGGAGGTGGAGTGGAATACAGAAACACCTCAGGAACACATGCTCATTTACACTAAGTGGAGACACTTAAAGCAATTTGGCTTAGAAACTGTCAGAGCTCCACTTCTGGTTGCAATTACAGAAGAATTTATTTCCCCAAGTTCATTCTTTTTGCCTAGTGAAATAAGGAGCCACCCTTTAATAAACCATCAAGGCACAATAAGACCACCAGGACTCACCTCACAAACCCCACAGCGCTGCCTCTTGACGCCACCCTCCTTGTCATTCTGATCAATCTGGTCGGAGAAGAATGTGTCAAAGATCTGGTAGACCAGCTTGGTGGTGGTGGCCTTTGTGGGACCCTTGTTGTCCTTCTCAATCTTGGTGGGATGACGGATTGCTTGCCTTCTGGCTGCCCTCCTGTAGGGGGCGATCCAACAAGAGGTGTTGGAAGCCAGGTATTCAACTGATGCACAAAGCAACCCTAGGGACCCTTTTTTTGACGTGACCCATACGCAGCTCATACTTATCCTGAATATTAGAACCAGACAGCGACTGAAAGCATGCAGAATGAAGCCCATAAACTGCAGCATGTATGGGGGGGGGG